AAAAAAAAAAACATGTACTCATTACCTTGCTCATGTAACTGTAACCCCTTTGTACATACAGTATTTTCACAATAAAAAACTTAATTTAAAAAAAATTAGTGAGGGCTGGGAAGGTGGCTCGGTGGTAGAGCGCTTGCCTTGCATGCCTGAGGCCCTCAGTTCGATTCCTTAGCACCACATTAGCAAAAAGAAAAAAAAAGCCGGAAGTGGCGCTGTGGCTCAAGTGGTAGAGTGCTAGCCTTGAGCTGAAGAGCTGTGGGACAGCGCCCAGGCCCAGAGTTCAGGCCCCACGACCGGACCAAAAAATATTTAAAAAAACAGAAATGAACAAAGAAATAAAACAAAGACCTCCAGGAATTATGTAGCTAATGAGGTCAAGGGTTAGGTGAAAAACTGAAAGGTCAAACTTCATAAACAAGAGGCATGATCTTCCCAACAGGTAAGATATATAAACACTATTTCCATTTCTGGAAACTTCAGCAAATGTTTACCTTAAGCCCACACTTCAGACTTAGTTGGATTTAGCTTTTTTTTTTTCAGTAGTGGGATTTGAACCCAAGGCCTCATACTTGCTCTCCCATTTGAACCACACACCCAACCCACTTTTGCTGTAGTTATTTTCTCAAATAGGTTCTTGTGTTTTTTGCCTGGGACTGGCTTTGGCTCATAATCCTCTACCTACATTCCCTACATAGCTAGGATTACAAATGGAATTCACCATCCCCTAGCTTGTTTGCCTGGGCTGGTGTTAAACCACAAGCCTCCTGATCTCCACCTCCCAGGTAACCAGGATTACAGGTGTGAGTTACTATATTAGTCCTTCGAGTTGCCTTTTATGTCAGAATAAACATAAATATGGATTGAAGAAGAATGGCAGCTGAGACTAACAACTTGTTTTTTCTTTCCTTGTCTCCGGAAGTCTCACTGTGAGTGTAAGGAACATTACCACAATTTTGTACCTGGAGTGGGGTGCAGTATGATCAACATCTGTGAATCAAAAAACCCATGTCACAGGAATGCAAATTGTACCACCATCATACCAGGCCAAACAAAGTAAGTTTCAGTCTCCCACCGATATCTTTTCCAAATGGATGATGTGATGGCCAGTCAATGTGATACCCTTCCTTCAAGGGGTAGAAGTGTGTTTTATGCAGCCATCTCTCTGCTCCTACTTTACATAGTAGATAAGTACAAGGAGCATAGTAGATACTCATAAGTCTATGTTTAATCAGTGAGGTGCTCGGCAGTTATTTCTTTTAGAATGAGAGCTCTCCAGAATGTTGACCCAGCCTGACGTGGTCGGCTGGAGGAAACAGAAATCACACGAGAAATCACATGGGAAAGCAACTGGTATGGTTATTGCAGGAGCTCAATTGCTATTGTCCAGGAAGTGTTGCTTGTGAGTGTTGTGAACAAGACTGAGAAAGTTCTTTTGCACACAAGGTATTTCCTGGACTCGGGTTTCAGAACAGGAAAAGATTTATATGTAAAATCCTAGGCAGAAGCAACTCATGTGGTCGAAAGAGAAGACTATCTGGAGTTTAAGGATCTGGGCTTGGCTGTGGTACCTACCAGAAGCATGACCTTAGGCAGGTGACACCTCCTCTCTGGCCTCAGTTTCTCTCTATACAAGTGAACATAAGAATACCTACTCCAAAATGGGAGGGGGAGTGACAATTTCATGAGCAAATGGAACCCAAGAACCACATAAGAACATGGCAAGAACTATTAAGCTGGGGAGCTGTGTTTGAATGAGAGATTGGACAGAAGCTAGAACCCACGTCCTTTGACCTTCCCAGACTGTCTCTGTGTCACTTGGCCCTCATGGTACTCAGCCTCTGCAAAGAGGATTCATGCTTGCTCCCCTTGTGAGCTCCAAACCAGGGTAACACTGAATGGTGCAACCCAACGGCACCGCTGCACTTTCCAAGGCCTTGTCTATCTTCCGTGATGGAGGGGTCATCGGTGCGGAGATTTGCCCAGACAGATCTTGTTAGCACTGTGTTCTGTCTGGTCAGTGCACTCACTAGGCATGGAGTAGAAAGAACTTTGATATCAAAACACCCATCTTTGTATCCCGGCTCTGCCACCTGCCCGCTCACAACTAATCATCCTGATAGTTCAACTAAAAAGGGGGAGAAGAGCAGTTCCCACCAGGGCTAAGAGGTCATGTGAAGGGCCAAAGGACAAGTTAGGAGGCCCCCACAGCTCTCTAGGCAAAAGGAGACACCCTCTGAGCAGTTTGATCCACAAACTGATTGACAAGAGATGTGTGGGACCATATTTAGACGCTCAACTGGATTCATGAGGGGGGAAGCGGGGAGGGGGCAGGATGGAGCTGTTTAAATTCCACAGCTCCCCATGAGTCACATCTGTGGTATGGAATGACCACAACAACCCTGTCACAGCCGTCTCCCTCTATCAATCCTTTCTGGAACATTCTCCTACCTCGTGTTGGCTCTCCCCTCATCCCTCACCACCACCCTGAGCCCCCAGCCACATCTCCAGTATCCTGGCTAATGTCACCATCCCATGCACCTTGTCAACCTCTGCCAGCTGTCAACTCCTACTCCTGGCAATAGCCAACCCTATTCACGGCCAGCTGAGCACGAAACCGCCAGGTGTCACACAAGCTTTCTGTTACCATGTTGATGGGCTGAAATTGGCCCAGCTGGGAGGGCAAACTGTGGAAACTGGAAAGTGCTATAACTTAGGGCCCCCATCCCCACCCCCAGAGCTAGAAGTTCCACATTTGCCAACACAACACTGCTTGGCACATCTTTTAACTCTTTCTTAGGCAGTGAAACCATCATCTAAAAATGTCGATGACTTTAGTAGTTATGCACTCATTTCTGTTGGCTATGCTGTCTATTTAGTTCAATCCCTACTCTACAAGTGTTCATTACCAACTATGGCCCACATTGTAGCACAAACAAAGCCATGAGAAATCTTCGCTCTGGCTGCATGGGGAGGCAAACGTTCGTCACATCACCACACAGATCAGGATAAAATCACAGCTGTAACTTCTGCTGCCCCGAAGGGCTTCATGAAGGTATGGATCAGGGATCACTTCCTCAGTGAGCGGAGGCATCAGAGAGGCCTCAGCTAGAAGGGAGCCGGTGGGGAAGCATGTCCTGAGCTGATCAGCTCTGAGAATTTGCTGTCCTATAGGCTGGTTTCAGTTGAAATTCTGCAGTGGGCCCCTAAAATCTATAGTTATAATAAATGCTCCAAGTGATTCTGATTTGTATGGTATCGGTGTGTGTGTGTGTGTGTGTGTGTCCCTTCTCTTCCACTCTTCTCTTTTCCTCTCCCTTACTCTCTTCTTGAACTCACAGCCCGATGCTCTCATTGGGCTTTTTTGCTCAAGGCTTTTTGTTGGTTAACTGGAGATGAAAGTCTATTAAACTTTCTTCCCAGGCTAGCTTGGAATTGCATTCCTCAGATGTCAGCCTCCTGAGTATCTGGGATTACAGACTTGAGACACGGACACCCGGCTACATGGTCTGTGGAGCTTTTAAATATACTCAAGCAGAGAGCTCCCAAAAATACCTAGTGTTTATAAATGTGCCTGATTTATTAGGCATCCTGTTCTGGAAGGCCCCGTTTCTGTTAAGCTCTTAACTCCTCACTGTCTACCCCTCTCTTGGCCTTGTCTTCTCTACATCTGGACTTTGTTTCCCCAGCTGTGAAAGGAGGCCTGGGGCTATGTAATCTCGGTAGTCATGGCTCGAAGACTCTGAGAATGTGGTTTTCGTCTTCTCCGCAGATGCACTTGCCGGGAAGGTTATGTGGGTGACGGCTTGTTGTGTTACGGAAATATCATGGAACGGCTCAGAGAATTAAACACTGAGCCCAGAGGAAAATGCCAAGGACGTCTGACCTCTGTCATCTCTCTCCTCGGTATGAAGCAATGGATACAGACTTCCTCCCCAGGGGCATCCATCTTTGGGGCCAAAGCATCAGTGAGACCCAGGATGCAGAAGGGGATGGGCCAGGCCAATACCTTGGAGCTGGCGTTTTTTTAGGGAGATGCCATGCAGGTGGGAGGGAAGAGCAGACAGCTGCTCCCAACGAGACAGCTATTTTCTGAGAAGTCTACCAGGGTGAGAATTTGTAGGCAGAAAGCTGAGACTAGGGTCCTACGCCTCCCAAAGATCGACAGACCAGCAACAACAATAAGAGCTACTTACGTACTAGACCCTTCACCTTTCCCTTGACATTATGGGTCAGTTCTTCGAGGGTGAGCAAAGATTGGCAGATAGCACTGAGGTTGGAATGACTAGGGCCCTGCTCTATGGAGGCATCGTTTGAATTTTGGAATGGTTTTGGTTGTGCAAACTATTGTCCTGATGCCACAAATTATCTAGGTCATATCCCAGGCTCCCTGGGGCAGGGTGAGAGTTTAAAATGCCCTCATGCATTTGCTTGCAAATCCTTGAGAATGAATATTTAAAACCAATCATAGAATTAGGCAAGACATCCATCAAACATGAATATGCCCAATTAACAAAATAAAACAAAACACACAAAAAACACCCCACAGATGACCAATTAACAGAAGCCCTACATCATCAGGATTTATGTTGGTATTTACCAGTCACCAAAGATGACTTCTCAGAAAACACACACACAGGCATAATGGTGCATACCTATAATCCCAATTACTTGAGAGGTAGAGACAGGCGGATGACAAGTTCCAAGCCAGCCTGGCCAATGTTAACAAGACTTTATTTCAACAAAACATAAAAGGGGCCCTGGAACTGGCCCAAGCTGTAGAGCACATACAGGAGGACTTGGGTTTACCAAAGAAGAGCAGGAGGAAGAAGAGGAAGAGGAGGAGGAGGTGCAGATGGAGGAGGATCTGCAAGCCTATGCCATACATTCTTGGCATAATATTAATCTGTATTTGCATACATATCTTGTTCTACAAGGAACCCAGTGTTACTGGCACACCGTGGGCCCGGGCCATGATCTGTCATCTCCTCGCACCCTGATGGCCCAGCTTCCCTGGAGTGATGAACTAGACTAGTTTCATCATTTGCAAGACCAGTGTAAAATGAAAAATGTAAAGTCCTTCATTCAAGTAATAAACATTCCAATATGGCAAGAGGCGAGCATCAAGCCTAGGTGTGGAGCTCTTCTGAGCTGGTCTTAGATAGAACCCAGAGTTGTTGCTCACTGAAAGGATGACATCTCCAAAAGCCAGGCACAGGTCAGGGATTCTGGGGCTGTCAGAGGAACTTGCCATGGCTAACTAGCTCATTCTAGAATGTCCTGGAAGCCAAGGCTGTAGCTGCAGAAAAACTCTTAGTGCCTCATATGGAACTTGTCAGGACCAAGGCCTCATGGTACTGAATCTCAGGGCTGTGCAAAGCAATTAAAACGAGTAAGGAAACAGTCACAGTGCTAGTACTGCCTTGATTTACTCCATGTGTTGCTGACCATCGGTGTTTCCTTCCTATGTGTGTTTCTGTGCCGAAGATGAAGTGTATGCCTGGCCTCTAAGTAGCCTGGGACCATTCACAGTGCTGCTACCATCAGACAGCGCCTTCAAAGCATCTGATGTGAGTATGTAAAATCACCTACATGCGTGTGCAAATGCAGAGAGCCTGAACAGGCTGAATCCTCTTCTTTTTTTTCTTTTTTTTTTAATTGTAAAAATACCGTACAGAGGGGTTACAATTACACAGGCAAGGTAATGAGTACATTTCTTATCAAGCATTATTGCCTCCTCCTTTGTTTCCCCTTCCTATCCCTTCCCATCCTCCCCTGCCCCCCCACCCAATCCTCCCCGCCCACCACACACATACCAAAGTTGTAAAGTTCGTTTTCAACATAACAACTTGTAGATCTCATTGTTGCAATGGGTCCACCTGTATCCCTATTTAAGCAATTTCTCTCCTCTTCTATTTAACGTTGGTTCTTACTTGTAATCCTAGCTACTTGGGTGGCTGAGATCTGAGGATCAATGTTCAAAGCCAAGCCTTAGCAGGAGAGTTGCAAGAGTCTTACCTCTAGTTAACCACCAAAGAGCCAAAAGTAGAGCTGTGGCTTCAGTGGCAGAACATTTGTCTGGAAAATACCAGACCCTAGGTTCCAACCTCAACACTGCCCCCCCCAAAAAAAAGTATAGATTTGGTCCATCAATCCACTTTATTTGTTCTTTTCATGAAATTTCCAACTATTTCAGTCTAACACTCTTCCTCTATTCAAGTGTCAGGGTTTAGTCTAGGGCGGCGGCTCCCATGATAGGGCACCAGGCAGGGCCTCCAGCCCTCACAATGCCACCATCTTTGAGGCCCACTCCACCCCTGATTATACTCAGGAAATACCATCTGTATCAGAAAGAGGTCAAAGATAGGCCCTAGAGTACCCTGGCTTTGATGCATTATAAAACACATTTTCAAACCCCAGCCCTCTGTCCCTCTTTTCTTAGGTAAGAGCACTCTTGATGGATAAAGAGGCTGCTAAGTACTTCGTGAAACTCCACATCATTGCTGGGCAGATGAGCACAGAGCAGATGAACCGCACAGACACCTTCTACACCTTAACTGGGAAGTCTGGGGAGATCTTCAGTGCAGACAGGGTAAGCATTTCTCAGAATTGTACTCCTGGAGTTCTAGGCCAAAAGGACCCAGCTCAGGCTTCCATGTGTCAGATTCCACCCCTCACCCCAGTATGCCAAATTAAGATACAAGAAGGATGAAGACAGAGAAAAACATTCCTATACTGCACCAGCAAACCACAAGGAGAGGCAGAGCTATCTTCAGTGTCCACAGAGGGGCTGTAGGTTTCAATAGAGAAAGAATTGGGGCAGGGGTTAACAGTATGCAGGGTTACTGACCAGTCCTGCCAGAGGGATGGATGGTGTGGTGGTCAGAGGTGCTCAGAGGCTTGGTTTGGTTGATCATCATCTCTCACTAGGGCCTGGTCATGATTTTACCAAGAAAGTCATGGTTGCCTGGGTAATACTGTAACTTCAATTGTTGTCACGGGGTGTTATCATCTTTCTTGGCATCCCAGGTGGCTGCAAGCTGGCTACTCACAGCAGACTGAGATAAAATTAAAAGAGGGATATCAAGCTTTGCTCCTGCTTTCCCTTGCAGACCCAAGTAGAGAACTTTTTTCCAGCCAGACCAGTCTCTAGATGCACGGTACCCTCCCAGGACTAAGCCGTCTGTCAAGCCAGTGCCCAAAGCCTCCTTGACATTCATGTGTGGAGTTGGTGATCTTTTGTTACTCCCTGTTGGTCAGACAAGTAGCAGAGAGCAATACCAATGCCATGGGGAGGGGTATGCTGGTGCAAAAATGGGGTTCCCGGTGTTTGATTTGGATCATGTTTATTTTGGTTACTGGAGCTGATCTAGCCAATGCTTTAGTGCTGTTTTCTTTTTTTAAAAAAAATCTTGCCCTTCCCCTTTGCATGACTGGAAGTTCAAGGGACTCATCAACAAAATGTTGTGTGTCTTTGGCCTGCACTACTTTATAGTGCCTAATAGCTGAGTTTGCTATATCACCAAGAGTCCTGTCGATGCTAACCACCAGGACAAGTAATTTATTTTTGCCCATGTAAGACTCAGAAGAGCCTGTAAGAAAGGTTCCACCAAGAATCTCCATTTTTCCTGTTGGACACGGTAAGTGCCAGAGCCTAGAGTCCAATGTGAGTCTGTCTGACTCCAAAACCCACCACCTTAACCTTAACAGTCTGCTATATTGAGTATCTCACAATGGACAGTTAGACAGGTAGATGTTAGACAGATAGGCAGAAGATAGACAGGTGATAAGTAAATAAGTGGTAGATAGATGATAGATGATTGATTGATATAGTTAAAAAGTTAAATAATATAATCGATGATATATAAATTGTAGAGAGAGAGAGATAGGCAGGCAGGCAGACAGACAGACAGACAGACAGATAAATAGATAGATAGATAGATAGATAGATAGATAGATAGATAGATAGATAGATAGATAGATAGATAGATAGATAGATAGATAGATAGAAAGAAAGATAGATAGATAGATAAGAGTGAGATTTCTTCCTACACCCAGGACATGGTTCTTTTAGCTCATTTATTCATTGAACAAATATTTACTAAGTCTCTACTTGGAAGGGTTTCATGAAAAGGAAAAGGAATTAGTTTTTCCTTTAGTAAATACTGTACCAAGTGTCTTTTCTGTGTAGTATACTAAAGCAAGCGAAGCATTAGGGCAAAAGGAACAGCTCTACCCAGCTGGAGCTTGCAGTTCATTGGAGGAGAGCACTTTAAAACCTTATCGGTGTTATATATCTGATAGTCACATAGCTTTATCTCACTGACCTTAACAGAAACTATATGAAGAGAACCAAGAAGACATCTTCATGTTGGTTGGGTCATGTGACTTGCTCAGAATCTCACAAGCCATGAAGAGGGCAGCACCAAGGACTCTGGACTTCTGGCTTTTTGTCCATCAATGCTTGCTCCTTTCAGAACACTATACTATAAATACTTTATCTTTCTTTGATATTTTAGGATGGCCAACTTAGGCTTAAGCTCTATGGGGGCAAAAAGAAGGTACAAATTGTACAGGGGAACATCGTTGCTGCCAACGGGCTCATACACATCCTTGACCAAGCCATGGACAGCATACAGCCCACGTTTGTGAGCAACACCAAGGTGAGACACTTCAGGGAAAAGTGATGCCCACCCGAATCTGCCTGCCTTGGCTGCATTCTGGAAGGAAGTGCTTCTCATATGTGCTTGCCCTTCCTTCGGCCAGGAAGATCTCAAGCTAAGAGATAGAATTGCTATTTTTCAAATAAAGTTCTGAGTCTTTATGCAAAGGGCAATGAAGGCACACTCAGTAAGTAGAAAAAGCCTGGATAGGCCAGGCGCCAGTGGCTCAGGCCTGTAATCCTAGCTACTCAGGAGGCTGAGATCTGAGGATCGCAGTTCAAAGCCAGCCTGGGCACAAAAGTCTGTGAGACTCTTATCTCCAATAAACCACTCAGAAAACTGGAAGTGGTGCTGTGGCTCAACTGGTAGAGTGATAGCCTTAAGCTAAAGAGCTGAAGGACAGTGCCCCAGACGAGAGTTCAAGTCCCATGACCGACAAAAAGAGAAAAAAGAAAAGAAAAGAAAAAAACCTGGATAAGTTTTAACCTCTTTTTATGGTACAAGCCTATAAAATTCCAGCTATGTAGGAAGCAGAGATGAGAGGATCATGGTTGTAGTCTAGTCTGGGGGGAAAAAAAAGTTAGTAAGACCCTACCTCAAAATTCAAGCTAGGTGTGGTGGTTCATGCCTATAATTAAAATTATATAGAAGATGGAATAGGAGAATCACAACCCAAGGCCCATCCTGGGAAAAAAAAAGGTTGAGACATTACCTGAACAAGAAATAAGAAAGAACTGGGTATGTGGCTCAGGGGGTAGAGTATTGTCAACCCTGCCAATGACGTACACTTGAATATACCACACATCAGGTAAAAGAGACAGAGCCACAAGGTCTTGAGTTCAAACCCTGGTACAATCAATGGATAAAATAACATTTTTAGAATGTGTGGCAGATTGACCAGGTTCTTTTATATGCACATATAACACATAAGCTCTTTCCTAAATCCCTCTGTTTTCCTCAATGACTTTTTCTTTCATTTTTCCTAAATCATTTTATTTTAAACTAAATGTCTCTTTTTCAGCAAACCATCATGATGATGTTACAACCAAAATACAGCAAGTTCGTGTCTTTGTTGGAGGTATGTACCCTTCCTGAATTTCTGGGGTAAAAAATGCTTCTTAAGTTTTCTATAAAATTTAGCAAGACTATATAAAGTCTAAGTACTTTCTGGAGAAATTCTTAAGTTTTAAGTTTGAGGTTGATCAGGGCATAAAATTTTATTTCTTTATTATTATTAATGTACTTTATTGTTATTACAAAGGAAGTACAGAGGGATTACAATGACATGAGTTGGGTAATGAGCACATTTCCTTTCATACAGTGACTTCTGTTCCCTTATTCTCTCCTAGTCCCTCCCCGCTGTCTCCATCCATGAGTTGTGTAGTTCTTTTTCATCAGTGTGAGTTCCACTGATGTACTTTTCCACTCTTTTTCCCCTCAAGTTCTGTATCCTCTCCTCAACTCTTCCAATGATATACACTTGAATACACCATACATAGAGTGAAGAAAGAATCATCAAAAGCTAAAAAAAAAAAGAGGTCTCTTATTTCCATATCTTGGAGTTCGTTTCAATGTGTATATTCCTTATATAAATATGAAGAGGCACTTAGGCATTATACCTTTGTGTTTCTCTCCTAAAGGTATCCTCTTTTGGTTTTACTGTGTGTGAGTATCTAGGATCTTATATAATTTATCATATCTCAGTGTATGTTAGATCTAATTTCCGCATATCAGAGAGAATATATGTCTTTCATCTTCTGATCTTGTCTAACCTCATCTATTTGTTCTAGCTCCATCCATTTCCCTGCAAATGACATTATTGTATTCTTTCTGATGGCTGTGTAAAATTCCTTTGGGTATAGATTCCACATTTTTGTATCTCCTCTATTGTGGGGCATCTGGGCTGTTTCCATATCTTGGCTATTGTGAATAGTGCAACAATGAACATGGATGTGCAGGTGTCTTTATCATTTCCTGGCTCATGATGCCAAGGAGTGATATGGCTGGGTCATAGAGTAGGTCTATGTTTAGTTTTTTAAGGAATCTCCAGACTGCTGTCCAGAGTGGTTATACTAGTTTACGTTCCCACCAACCATGCAGTAGGGTTCCTTTTCCCCCACATCCCCACCAACATTTGTTACTGTTCAAATTCACTATGTTGGCCAAGCTACCTGGGGTGAGATGGAATCTCAGAGTTGTTTTGATTTGCATTTCCTTTATGACCAGGGATGATGAGCATTTCCTCATATGTTTCTTTGCCATTCTTACCTCTTCTTCTGAGAAGTCTCTCCTTAGCTACCTTGCCCATGCAGTGATTGGTTTATCAGGTTTGGGTTTATCAGGTTAGTTTCTTGAGCTCCTTGTATATATTGGGTATTAGGCCTTTGTCTGGATATATTGATGGTAAAGATCTTCTCCCAGTTTGTTGGCTGGCTTTCTAGTTTAGTAATTACATCCATAGCTGTGCAGAAACTTTTCCTGTTGATGTAGTCCCACTTGTCAAGTCTCTCTCCTATCTGTTGTGCCTCTGGGACTCTATTCAAGAAGTTTCTACCTATAAGTTCTAATGTTTCTCCTAGTCACTCTTGCAGTAGTCTCAAGGTTTCAGGTCTGGTGTTGAAGTCTTTGATTCACCTTGAATTGATATTAGTGCATGGTAACAAACAGGATTCACTTTTAGTTTTCTGCATATGGACGCTCAGTTGTCCCAACACCAATTAGTAAAGAGGATATTTTTTCCCCACTCTATGTCTTTGGCTCCCTTATCAAATATCAGATGACTGTATGTATGTGGTTTTATTTCTGGGTCTTCTAATCTGTTCCATTAATCTTCTGGTCTATTTTGTGCCAATACTAAGCTGGTTTTGTTACTATAGCTCTGTAGTAGAGTTTGAGGTCTGATATTGTGATACCACCCACATTGCTTTTTTTTTTGCCTAGAATTGCTTTGGTTATTTTAGGTCTTTTATTGTTCCACATGAATTTTTGGATTGTTTTATCTAATTCAGTAAAGAATGTCATCGGGATTTTTATGGGGATTGCATTGAATTTGTATATCATTTTTGGCAAAATGGCCATTTTCATAATATTCATTCTACCTATATATGAACATTGATGGTCTTTCCATTTCCTGGCGTCCTTTGATTTCTTTCTTCGGATTTTTGTAGTTTTTTGCTATAAAGATCTTTTACATCTTTCGTTAGGTTAATTCCTTCATATTCTTTTTTTGAGACTATTGCAAATGGAGTTGTTTGCATGATTTCCATTTCTGATTGTACATTGTTGGCATACTGCAAGGCTATTAGTTTTTGTGGATTAATTTTATATCCTTCTACTTTGCCAAAGTGGCTCATCAGCTCTAGAAGCATGGGGATGGAGTTTGTGTGGGTCATTTAGGTATAAGATCATGCCATCTGCCAATAGGGACAGTTTGATTTCTTCATTCCCTATGTGAATTATGTACTTTTCCTGCCTTATTGCTCTGGCTAGGAATTCCAGAACTATACTGAAGAGGATTGGAGATAGTGGACATCGTGGCCTTGTTCCTGATTTTAGGCGAAATGGTTTTAGTTTTTTCCACATTCAGTATGATGTTGGCTGTTAGTCTATCATATATAGCCTTTGTTATTTTATGGAATGTTCCCTCTACTCCTAGCTCCTCCAAAGCTTTTAACATGAATGGATTTTGTATTTTATCAAAGGCTTTTTCTGCATCTATCAGCTGATCATGTGGTTCTTGTTCTTGGCTCTGTTAGCCTGTTTAATTATATTTATTGATTTGCATGTATTAAACCAACTTTGCATCTGTGGGATGAAGTCTACATGGTTATAATGTATGATTTTTTTTATCTTTTCTGGATTCTGTTCTACTTTATTGAAGAGCTTTGCATCTATTTTCACCAGAAAAATTGGTCTGTGGTTCTTTTTGTTGTTGTTGTTGGATCTTTACCTGGTTTGGGGATGAGTGTGATATTGGCTTCATAGAATAAGTTTGGAATTTCTCTCTGTGTTTCTATTTCATGGAAAAGCTTGAGGTATATTGCTGTACATTCATCTTTAAAAGTCTTATAGAATTCAGTGATGTTAGTTCATCTTTAAAAGTCTCTTAGAATTCAGTGGTGAATCCATCCAAGCCTGAGCCTTTCATTATTGGAAGACTTCTGATTTCTTCCTTAATCTCCTTGCATGTTACTGGCTTGTTAAACTGATTTTTATCTTCATGGGTCAGCTTAGGCAGTTTGTATGTCTCTAGAAATTTGTCCATTTCTGCCAGGTTTTCCGTCTTTAGGGGGGAGCAGTAGATTTTGAAAGTAGTCCTTTATAATCATTTGGATTTTCTTTTTTAATTTTATTTTATTGTAAATATGCTGTACAGAGGGGTTACAGTTACATGAGTAAGGTAATGAGTACATTTCTTGTCAAACATTTGGATTTCTGAATGTTTATTGTAATTTCTCCTGTGGCAACTCTGATTTTGTTTGAGTCTCATCTCTTCTTTTCTTCATCAATCTTGCTAGTGGTCTAAAGAACCAGCTTTTTGTTTAATTGATTTTATGCATAGTTTTTCTTAGTTCCTATTTTGTTGATTTCTGCCCTAATCTTTGTTCTCTCTGTCTAGTAGTTTAGATTTGATTTGTTCTTGGTTTTTTGTTTGTTTGTTTTGCTGTATGCCAGAGGTTCCATTGTGATTTGTTTTCATTTTCATTGAATTTTAAAACCTTTCTAATTTCTTCCTTAATTTCTTCTGTGACCCAGGTGTTATTCAGTAGTGTGCTATTCAATCTCCATGTGTTTGAGTGATTTCTACAACATGTTTTGTTGTTAAACTACTTTGATTCCACTGTAGTTAAACAGAATGCAAGGAGTTATGTCAATCTTCTTGTGTTTGCTTAGGTTCTTTGTGTGTACTATGATATAATCTATTTTGGAGAATGTTTCATGGGCTGCTGAGAAGAATGTGAATTGGGTCATTGTTGGGTGGAATACCCTGTAGATATCTGTTAAGTCCATTTGGGTAATGCTGTCGTTTAATTCAGAGGTTTCTTTGCTTATCTTTTGTTGGTTGACTTGTCCTTTGATGAGAGTGGAGTATTAAAATCTCCCACTATTATGGTATTGGGTTCTATCATGTTCTGTAAGTCCACAAGTATTTGTTTAACATATTTAGGTGCTTCATTGTTCGGTGCATAGTGACCACTGGGATTTCTTCTTCATGGATCATTCCCTTTATTTATATGTAATGACATTTCTTGTCTCTTTGTACATTTTAATGAAAAATCTATTTTATCAGATGTCAATATGACTACTCCTGTCTTCTTGCAGGATGCATTTTCATGGAAGATCTTTTTCCATCCTGTCACTAAGAATTTGTTTTTATCATTGACCATAAGATGGGTCTCTTGGAGGCAACATATGGATGGATCAGGTTTTTCTGCTGGCAGCCAGGGCTGCAGAGGACACAGGGTCCAGTACCCCAGGATTGGTCTGGTGTTCTTCCTCTGGAAGCAGATGGGTGGCTTCTTTGTCCTCTTCAAGCATGGTGTCCCATCTCAGGCAGGAGGGAGGGACCCAGGCCAAGCACTCTGGGTCACTGCCAGTGCTGGTGTCTGGTGCAGAGTGGGGTCCCCAGCAGGGTACTCCAAGTTCCTGACATTGGTTCTGGGCTGAGCAGCAGCGTTGTGAAGGTTTTCTGGCTCTGGATGCTATGATCTCACTGTTGATCTGTGTCACTGTCTGCGCTGGTTGGGGTCCCAGGATGGAGGGTAGGGGGAAGACACTTTGCAGTTTTCCATCCTTGTATATGTTAGGTATAAGTTCTTTGTTGTTGTGATTCTATATTTGTTTATATTTTTCTTGTTGTCAGTCTCTTGGGATGAAGTGCATGTCAGAACCCTAAATCTCTGATTTGAGAGAGCTGGGGTGATTCCTATTGCTTTGTTGCCATCTGAACTTTAATTCTTAAATGCAGGAAGCCAATATGGGGCATTCCTTGGATGAGGATGGACCATACACCGTTTTTGTTCCAAGCAATGAAGCACTAGAGAGCATGAAGGATGGTACTCTTGACTACCTCCTTTCTCCACAGGTATTGTGTCCTACTGGCTCTGATGACTCTGTTAGCATCAATGCTTCAATCTACCCCTATATTAGCTTTTGCTAAACTACAGTATTAAGTAGTACAAGTATCACCACTTATATAGCCACAACCAAGGCAGACATCACTAGTCAATTACAGTGACTTCGAACTCTTCAATAGAGTTCCAACTAGCTATGATTGGTCTATTACACTTGGTGTAGGAAATAACACCTATTTACAACTGCTGTCCCAAGTGGTTGGTTTGATTTGTTTGATGTCTTCTAATGTTTCTGAGTAGTAAACTCATAAATTTAACTTCTTTACAACTCTAAAACCACCTAGAGAATATACCTAAATTAGGCAATCCAGGCCTAGGCTAAGTGTTCAACCATACTCCAGCTTTTCTTGATGAATGGGTCAATAGTAATTGTTACTTACATAGATGCTGGGAGGATTAAATATACATGCTCTATATTTTTTAGAACAGACTCTGTCACAGAGTAAAGACTGTGTAAATGTTATTTGGAATTTTTATCATCCTGGGTTTTCCAGCTATTTAGCCAGCAGAAAACCCCAGTACAAATATATATTTTTTTCTGAGTCATATTTTTATAACTAAATATACAAAATCATTTAAAGGATTCTCATGAAAAGGCTAGTGTAGTGTTTTCTTCATTGACTAAAGAAGTATTTTGGTGTTTTTGCAGGGTTCTCGGAAACTTCTGGAACTCGTCAGATACCACATTATTCCATTTACCCAGGTTGGCCTCACGCGTCCTGATACTACTATTTCCTTGCTTTCAAGATATCAGTTCCTAGTCTTAAATTTCAATATTTTGATGTCAGAGAAACTTGTGACTTTTTAAAAAATCTGCAGCTCTGGGCAAGTAGCCATTAAATAATGACTTTCTTATCAAAATCTTCAAAGTCACAAAGAACTCCTGACATCAAAGCTCCCATTATTTCTTCCCTGAAGCGTAAAGACTGTTAGCCTCGGGACTCTGTGCATTGCTCCAAATTTCTCCCTTGCTGTCTTTTTTGCAGCTGGAAGTGGCCAACGTTGTGTCCACTCCCCACATCAGGAGCATGGCCAATCAGAACATCCAGTTTAACACAACCAGCAACGTAAGTGGAAGCCCACAACTGGGATCTGTAGACTTCTGCCTTTTTAATCTGACAACAACCCCCATCAGGTTACCCTGCCTCTACACTAATCTGCAGGCTTAACATCTCCTTAAATCCATCCATTAGGCAATCAACAATCAATAAAATGCTTCATGACAAATGACAATGAGTGCCCAGAAGGCTGTGAAAGCACCCAGCAGGAGTCTGAGAAGGGCTTCACAAAGGTGGTGCAGCTCAGACTGGCTCTGAAGGATGAGGGCAATGAACTTGGCAGGAATGAATAGAAAAGAATTTTGAGAAGAAGGGAAAGCATGTACAAAGGCTCTGAAGTAGAGGGAACATGACATTCTTAAGAAACTCTGTATGTGAATGAATGGATCTTCACTTGGCCATAGGAAGGTAGAACAATGTGCCCAAGGCACATGAGCTGTAGAGGTGAAATAGCTCTACCTCTATCCAACTCAGGCTGTGTAGGGGCCTTTATTCAAGGACATACTGGTTTGGTGTCAAGAGTCCATTCAACAAATACAGTCACTTCCTGTTGGCCAAACCCCTCCAATAGCAACCTTCCTTCTGATGAAAACAAGTGATGTAAGAAGGCTTTTGACTGAGGGCGTTATATTTGCATCGAGATAGATATTATTATCTTTAAGTGGTCTTACAAAGGAGTTACAATGCATTTTGACAAATGTCACTTTTTCCAACATTCTCACCCATTGCTCCCCTCCCCTCACTCTTCTTAATTTTGCAGGAGATCTGTTGGATTCTTGATCACATTTCCCCCTCTTCTCTTCTTTCATCCCCGACTTTCCCCGTTACCTCAACCCACCTCTTTCAAGTAACCACTTCCTGGTGTTTTATTTTGCTGAACTTTGATTTTTGCCTTTCTATGGAACTACACCATTTGAGATCTTCCTTGAATTGACTGTATGTCAGTGCATACATTTGTCTACACTTGCATACCACCCAACCTACTACTTATGAGTTTGTAAGCTAAATCTTGCTTCCACATATAAGGAAAAACCCAGAGAGGTAGAGGGTGCTAATATTCATACTGCGGGGGGGGGGCTCTCCCTGGCACCCTGCAGCACAGAAAAAAAGATACTATTCTTTCTTTCTAGGGACAGATTCTGGCAAATGAGGTGGCAATGGATGAAACTGAAATCACTGCCAAAAATGGCCGGATCTACACACTGACTGGAGTTCTCATTCCTCCCTCCATCATTCCAATTCTGCCCCATCTATGCAATGAAACAAGGAGAGAAACTAAATTGGTAAGAAATGAAGTTTTTAAAAAGTCCCCAGCTGGGCACTAGTAGCTCACACCTATAATCTTAGCAACTCAGGAGGCTGAGATCTAAGGATAATGGTTCAAAGACGGCCCAACCAGAAAAGTCCAGGAGATGTTAATCTCCAATAAATTACCCCCCCAAAAAAGCTGGAAATGGAGCTATGGCTTGAGTGGTATAACACTAGCCTTGAGCAAAAGAAGCTCAGGGACAGCACCCAGACAGACCCTGAGTTCAAATCCCAAGACTGGCACCAAAACCAAAAAGGTTCCCAACAGACAATTTTCTTATCTTCTTATCTGCACACATACTTCTGAAAAAGCTGAGAAGGAGAGCCCCTGGTATTTGCCACCATGAAGGGGCTGTGGGCCTTAAGTCCCATAGAACCAATGGTAGACCATGGCCAAATTCATGCATTCCTCATGCTATAACCAATGACCATACACTGGGTGTTTTAACACAACAGTCATTTATTCTCTTAAAGTCTGGAAGCCAGGAGTCTAAAACCAAGATGTCAGCAAAGCCATCTCCCCCACCAAGGTCCTAGGCTCCTTTGAGTTTGTTTTGTTGTGGTTGTTTGAAGATACGGTATTTCTGTGTTGCCCAGGCTGGTCCCAAACTCCTTCTGATCCTCCTCCTTCAGGATCTCAAGTAGCTGGGACTACAGGCATGAGTCACTGAGCCTGGCTAACTTCCACACTTCAATCAGTCTCAGCAGCCCTTATATTTATCAGTCCACAGCTGCATTACTCCCATCTCCACCTCCACCTTCAGGTAGCCTTCCTCCCTATGTTTCTCTGTGTCACTTATCCCTTTATGTATAAGGATATTGGTCACTGGACTTAGACCACCGTAATTCAGTGTGGCTTTATCTTCGCCTAATAATTCACATCCATTTCCTAAGATCCCATTTCCTAAGAAGGCCACATCCTGAGGGTTTTGGGAGGAGGGACATACATTTTGTTGAGTTACTATTCAACCTACTACACGCTAGCTCTGGGCAGTCTCTAAACCTTTCTGCTCCTGGACCATTCGCTACAAGAAGGACTAAAAATTTCCTTACAGACAGATGCTCAAATCTAATGAATCAACCATCTTCCTGTCATGTTGTTGTTGTTGCTGTTGCTGTTCTTTCTCCAAATACCTCACTTTTTGTTTCTCTGTGAGCTTCTCCACCTGCTGCTGCTCTTTACTGTTTCCATAGCAACTTCTTTTAGCTCAGCCAGTGTTAATCAGATCACCCCCAAATTCCAATATCACTCGACATGCAGTCTTTTAATTTCCTGTGCAAACTGCAACCTCAAAACGGAGGCAATAATAGGTCTGACTCTTATCAGGACACTTCAATAATACATCAATGATTGTTCTCACGATATCTTTGGAACATGGACGCAGAATAAGGAGGATGGCCTCCTTTACTTTATCTTGTCCTCTTTTTTAATTATATTTTTATTATCTTTTAAGTAGTTGTACAAAGGTGTTACCATTCAATAGATCAATTTATAAATACAACGCATCTTGAGCAATGTCACTCTTTGTCATTCGCTTCTCTCAACCCAACCCTTCCCTAAATTTGCTTAATGTCATAGGATATACATTGAATGGTATGATTGCATACTCCCCCTGCTTTCTCTCTTCATTTGTCTACCCCTGTATTCCTTTTGTTGGCTTGTGGGTTCATTTTTCTAAGGAACTATACCAGTTGAATTCCCCCTGCAAACTACTCTACTTTGTTCAATACATTTATGTTTGTGCACTTGCATACAGTCCATAAGTGTTTGCTGGTACATTTATATATTAGTTATACTTCCATATATGAGAGAAAACATGTGTCCTTGGTCTCTCTGGGCCTGATTTCCTTCACTTAACATAAATTTTCCTAAATCCATCCATTTCTTCGCAAAGTGATATAATACCATTCTTCCTAATGGATGAGTAAAACTCCATTAGGGCTGGAAATAGCGACCTTAACACTTGCACAAGATGGTGGTTGACTTCTTGGTTCTTTTTAAGCTACCAAGCAAAGCCTGTTTCAATTAAATGGCATCTGGGTGATTTTTGTCCCATTCTGACGACCCCCCTTCTCAAAAGAGATGGAAACAGGGTCACTTCTTAGCCAGACCTTGGAAACAATGTATGCTGGCTTCATGCTTTAGAAATAAGCACTGGCAGGTGCATTTGCCTGACTTCGGTCAGGGTGAAGATCAGAACAGGCCAGAGAGTGGTCTTGCTTCCAACCCAGAGGCGCAACTATTAGGAAAATTGGTCCCTGAAGAAACAAGGAAGGAAGGAAAAAGGAGTTGATAATTTAACATGTCCTCCAGAGCTTCCCCATGCCAAGCAGCTGCTGCTCAAGTTGAGATAGGGAAGTCTGGAGGATCAAGAGCAGAGTCTGAGTTACCTGAACCCAGTGACCAAGGGAAGAATGGAAGAAGTAGACCCATCAGAAGCTAGGGGTGATGTCAAAGAAGAAAGGGAGCAGGGAGGATGTCCTTGACCCCACTCTCCTCTCCTGCCAGTCTCCTGCTGGCCTTCACTCTAGCCAAAGCCAGCTGGAAGCTGGCAAAGCAGCCCAAGGAACTGCTCCTCATGGCCTACTTGCTGAGGCCCAGAGCAAGATGGAAAAAGTCACAGTAGATCTGGAGAGGTTTGTTTTTTTTCCTGGTTTCAGGACTAATAAAGGAGATGTCAGTAGACTGGAAGGCAGAAGTTCAATGTTCAACCTTATTAGTGCCAAGCAACTAGGAGGTCCTAGAACTGGTAGACCATTGCAGGGCCCTCCCTGGGGCAGGTGCCTCCCTGTAGCCAGAGATTCGAAGGCTGAGCCCTTGACTAGGTTCGCTTTGTTCAAAAAGAAGGAACCGAAGGGCTTGTTCTGAGCAGGTGCTGTACTGACTTTGCTGTCTGTCTTTCCCTCTAGGGCACCTGTGTGAACTGTTACCTGATACATCGGAGCAAATGTCCGGCTGACTCCCAGATCTCAGTGAGTGCATAAGACAACTCCCAAGCAACTCCTTGGTGTGGTTCCTTTAAATGCTGTAAATGTGGGGCTGGGAAGGTGACTCAGTGGTAGAGTGTTTGCCTTGCATGCATGAGGTCCTGGGTTCGATTCCTCAGCACCACATAAGCAGAAAAAGCCAGAAGTGGTGCTATGGTTCAAGTGGTAGAGTGCCAGCCTTGAGCTGAAGAGCTGAGGGACAGTGTTCAGGCCCCATAATCTACCAAAAAAAAATGATGTAAATGTACCTGGTGTAATATAGAACTATAAAGGAGGATAGTTGGAAAGAGAAATCAGGGATCCATATTTGAATTCTAGCTCATTAGCCCTTGGTAAGTTGTTTAAGCTTTCTACCCTAATTCTCCTCACCTTTAAAGAATAACAACAGCCAGGTGCTAGTGGATCACACCTGTAATCCTAACTACTCAGGAGGCTGAGATCTGAGAATTGTGGTTCAAAGCCAGCCCAGACAGGAAAGTCCTTGAGACTCTTATGTCCAATTAACCACCAGAAAACTAGAAGTGACCCTGTGGCTCAAAGTGGTAGAGGGCTAGCCTTAAGCAAAAGAGCTCATGGACAGTGCCCAGGCCCAGAGGTCAAAACTAAAAAGACTAACAACAGTGATAGCATAAAGCCCAAGCACTAAAATCAAACAGCCTCTCATAAAAGTTCCCCTCTACTTTGCCCACTAAAATAAAATCCAGTGTTTATATATATTTACTCTTCCACACATGCTTTTGGATAAAAAAAAATAAAGAAATAAAGAAAGATACCCAGTTTAAATTAGACAGGAAGAACACTTTCCAGTGGTTTCTCAGGTTAGGCATGGCATCATGACTAGATTAATAATAATAATTTAATCCAGGAATTATATTCTTTCAGATATGACTTAATATTAGTCAGCTCTATTGTCCCATTCCACAGATGAGACAGTTGACACCAGCAGACACTGTGTGCTTCGCCTGGCTCCCAAAGTTAGTAGGCTAGAAGACTTATTCCCTGGACCTGATACTTGTTAGAAGTAGTTCTCAGTGGGGAGAAAGTTGTCTGATCTGTTTCCCTAATCTTTACCAAAAAAAAAAAAAGAAGACCTGGAAAACTCTGCATGAAAAGTTGGAGACTGATGATTTCATGGGCAATATGTTATGTTCAGCCTATTGTTAAGTTCTCATTAAATGATAGCTCTAGATCATCATGAGTGAACGTCAAGAGTTTAAAACCAGAAGCATATATTTAAATCTGGTTCTGTGGTAAATGGAAAAATGTCAACCACTGCTATTTTAGTTGGTGAATCTAACTGGCTCGGACATTCCCCTACGGAAAGAATTTAGATCAGAAGAGAAGACTAAGCTACATTCAGGATGAACCAAACACATGTGTCTTGATTGAGTAGTAATGTCTGGCATGCCTTGAGAGAAGGCACAAAGATTCTTGTGACACAGATTGGAAAAACTCTAGCCTGTATTCTACCAACAAGGAAACAGGCCTCCCGTGAAAGGGAGCGCCCTGAGCTGACCCAGGTGTGCGGTGTCTCCCAGGGCTCTGGTGTCACTGGTACCATGGAACAGAATGGCCCTTGTGGGGAGAGGCTATTCACTGCCCAAAGTACCTTGAAACTCAGACTGCTTTTGCTCACTGGGTTTCTTTCAGAGATTCTACATACACAAATGTGTCTACAGGAGCACACTGGGTGGCCTGAAGAGCGGCTGTGCCCTCCGCTGCAGCGCCATTGTTCAGGTAAGAAGGGGAGAGCCCGGCCTTGCCTAGGCTACCAAGGGCTGGGCAGCACCGGGGCCACACCCTTGGCCCTTGTGTGTGGATGGATTCCAGGATATGCTTTGTAAGGCTCTAGGATGTCTCGTTCAGGGGTACCAAAGGATGGATTCTCTTCAGAGCTGTCAGGTCACCACACCCTGTATCACACCTCTTGGGGTACCCCCTCTCGTACTTCACACAGAGCTCATCCCCACGGCTGCCATACCCGGCCTACCCTATGCCAGGGTCCTACACCCCATGGGGCCATTTCCTCCCTCAGAACATTCTTCTAGACTTTTAGGGGTTGTCTCCACCAACTGTCACCTCCTCTGTCACCACCTGATACACGGTGGCCTCTCCAGTCTCCCCTAAACTCTGCCTCTACCTGCTACCACTTTATCCTGTGAAAAGTGCTCCTTTAATTTATTTATGTGAACTTCCATAGTAATTCTTCCCTGAATGGCATAGAGGCTGGGTGGGCTCAGGACTTCATCTGCCTTGCTCACAGTACTACAACTGGTACCCTTGGGAGAAAGACTGTGGTGACCAGGGTTGACCTCTAGCTATGCCACTGTGTACGAGAGAGAGGGGGGGGGGAGAAGGAGAGAAGGAGAGAAGGAGAGGAGAGGGAGAGGGAGAGCCTGGGAACAGAAGCAGACATTGCTTGTTGAATCCATGGACATTTAAATATGTCTCCTTTGAGGAGTTGGTGCTCTACTTGGATCTATTTGTGTGTGTGTGTGTGTGTGTGTGTGTGTGTGTGTGTGCGTGTGTGTGTGTGTGTGTGTGCACGCCCGCGTGTGCGCGCTCGCCAGTCCTGGGGCTTGCTGTCCCTGAGCTTTTGTGCTCAAGGATAGTGCTCTACCACATGAGCCACAGTTCCACTTCCAGCTTTTGATGTGGCTAATTGGAAAGTAACAGCTTTACAAGCTTTCTTGTCTGTGCTGGCTGTGAACAGCAATCCTCAGATCTCAGCTTCCTAAGTAGCTAGGATTACAGGCATGACTCTGGCTTCTGGTTCTATTTGGATCTTTAAAGGATAATATGCATGTTATTTCTAAGGTACCAAAATGCTGCAAAGGCTTCTATGGGCCAGACTGTAACCCATGTCTAGGAGGCTTCTTAAATCCATGCTCTGGAAACGGACAGGTAAGGACAGATTTTATGTCCTACTACTTCCTACTTACTAGATGTTGATCTTTCTTAAGTCAATGATGTTTAAAAGACCTAGTCCCCAAAAGGATGCTGGACAATGTTCTCAGGAAGTAAAAGAAATGCATGTATCTAAAAAAGAAAAGAGATCTGCAGTAGGAATGTTGGTCTGGAGTTGGGGGAGAGTAGGCCCAGTGATACTATTTCTGGCCTCTGCTCTCCTGTTGCCCATGTGGGATCTTGGATAACTCATCAAGACTCCCTGATCCGCACTTCCTGCCTATGGGATAGACCAAGATCTAACATTTTATGATACTTTAAATAATACTAATACTACTCCCTACTGATTGCTTTTTGTAAACCCATCCAACAAAACCTAGTAAAATATAACGTCCACAATTTAACTTCTCTTTTTTAGAGGCTAAAACCCAAAGGAAGATAAAAAAAATAGCCATCATTCTTGCAGGGAAATCACAGATCTTACCATTGACTAGATCCACATCTAAAATATGGCTCTCACAGAGAGAAAGAAAAAGTATACAACCATGAATGGGGACCTTATGCAGAATAAGGGGAGACCAGTAACCAGGTGACCAGGAAGACAAATCCTGTTTAACTCTAATTCATGTCAATCAACACACATTTGACCTTGCCAGGAGTGGGAGAATGGGGGTGGCAGTGGGGTTATATCATTGAGATGAAACACTGCAGTTTGGAGTCATAGAGCTGAGTAAGGGAGAAGGTAGGGAGTAAGACTAGCTTTATCTGCAGGTCCTGTCTTAACCACTCCAATGTTTGAAGGTTCCAAGTTCATCAGTCTCTCTCTCTCTCTCTCTCTCTCTCTCTCTCTCTCTCTCTCTCTCTTAAATGACATCCTTTAATGTCCTGAACCCTAGCTTGGGCTCCCCAAGTCCAGCCTACCTGACTGGACTAGTCACAAAGCCTAATTTCAAATGAAACTAGGCCAGAGTTCAAAGTCAGGCCATGCTCACCTGCATGTATTAACAGCCCACGGGGCCTGTCTTTGCTCTCCCAGTGTGCAGATGGCCTCCAGGGCAATGGTACCTGCATTTGTAAGGATGGCTTCCAAGGCTCTCAGTGTCAGTTCTGCTCTGACCCCAACAAATACGGACCTCAATGTAACCAAAGTAAGTGATGCTTCCAGAACTTTGTCCCTCTGGATCCTTCCTGTGTCCAGTAAGTCCATAGCTAGAATCTGGTGTCTGTGATTCTCGCTAATAGCATACCAGCATCCCAGGACATTTCTTCAGTGCTGCTTCTCACATCACTGTGTCTGAGTCCTGGGATGGGACCTGAAGTGTTGCATTAAGTTCCCAGAGAATGCTGGCCGTGCTGGTCCAGGGACCAACCACTCTCTAGGTCCCTGTAGTAATCATAGATCTGTTATCAAGAAACAGATTTGCTCTCTTTCGAGCAGTCCTCTTCCAATAGTCCATACAGTTCCAAGCCATCCATACTCCCTCAGTTTGAGGATGTATGGCCTTGGGCAAGTTAGTGTACTTTTCTAAGCCCCAATTTCTTCTTCTATCAAATGAGGGTGATGATACTAATAGCTACCTCATAAGCCTGATACAAACAGGAAGCTCTTCCCCTAGAACAATGCCTAGCACATCACATGCACTCTAGGTATGCTAGCTGTTACCAGCATTTCTTACTGATGCTGTCATTTTAAGGGCAATGGCATAAAGAGGTATTTATAGAACATGTGGAAAGATGCACAACAATAGACATTAAAAATGCAGTTACACAAAATATATAATCTTAGGAAACACCTTATTCTTTGTGTGTGTGTGTGTGTGTGTGTGTGTGTGTTGGTTGTGGGGCTTGAAGTCTGGACCTAGGTGCTGTCACTGAGCTCTTCAGCTCAAGGCGAGTGCTTTATCACTTGAGCCACAGCACCACTTCTGGTTTTCTGGTGGATAATTGGAGATAGTCTCCCGGACTTTCCTGCCTGGGCTGGCTTTGAATCTCAATTCTCAGATCTCAGCCTCCTGAGTAGCTAGGATGACAGGTGTGAGCCACCAGCACCAGACACACCTTATTCTTTAAAAGATCATATACCATATCTTTCTTGGCTAAGATTTGAACTTAACAATAAGGTAAAAATGAAGAAATAAGAGCTTCCTGGGAAGTCATACCAACCAGAAGTAAAATTTCAACACTGCAATTTACCAGCTGAATGACCTAAGAACAAGTTTTTTTTGTTTTGTTTTGTTTTGTTTTTGCCGGTCATGAGGCTTGAACTCTGGGCCTGGATGCTGTCCCTCAGCTCTTCAGCTGAAGGCTAGCACTCTACCACTTGAGCCACAGCGCCACTTCCGACTTTTTCTGCTTATGTGGTGCTGAGGAATCAAACCCAGGGCCTCATGCATGCAAGGCAAGCACTTTTCCACTGAGCCATTTCCAGCCCCAAAACAAGTCTTTTTCAATGCATCCATCCAGTAAATGAAGACACTATTGGTACAATTGTCCCTCAGCATTGAAGGGGAACTGGTTCCAGGACTACTCAATCCAAATCTACAGGTGCAATTAGGGTCGTGTCCTATACATCCTCCTGTATGTTTTAACTCAGCCTTAGGGCACTCATACTACATAAATAATTGTACCATATTGTTGAGGCAATAATGAACTCCCCCCCCCAAAAAAATAAGATCCTGTATATGTTTAGGACAGGCACAAATTTTTTATGAAATATTTTTGATCCAAGGTAGGCTTGGTTGCATCTACAGTTACAGAGTCCAGAAGTATTTCTGGATCTGATCTGATTAAATTGCTTCAGCATTTGGACTTTTACCAGAAAGCTTGTATCTAAGAAAGCCACTCTCACTACTATCCCTACTGTCTCCATACATCTCTGACAAACCATGCATCATTTCCCCTCTCCTAGTCTTATTTGATCTTCACAACCCCCCTTCAAGATCGACGGGCAAGCAATCTTTGGGTCTTCCTTTAAGACCCTCCAAAACCCTCCTTCTTATTCCCTTGTGCATAAGCACCTGCATCTGAGGAGCTCGTGTTGTAATTTTGAAATACTTGTAACCAAAAATAAAAGGAACAGGAGAGTTTAAAATGATAACAGACATAGGGAAATACTGCTTAATTTAACTGTGATTATAGTGTCACATGCACACATAAACATACATACATACATACGTATATATTACTATCTGTGAAATACTGTAATTACACATACTAATAGAAATGGACTTTGAAGACTCAAGGTCAAAAGCCTGCTTGGAAACTAAGCAGGAAGTTGGGCAATTAACCCCACTTCTCTGGGCCTCCGTTTCTGCATCTGAAAAGCAGAGGCTATAAAAGCACAACCTCTTGAGACTGAAGACAGTTGATTTGATGCTGCATGTGAAAGGCTGGTCCAGAGCCTTGAATGAAGTCAGGGCCCAGATACTGGCCATTAGTTATCAGGGTTCACTGCAGAAAAGAGTGAAGAACAAACACACACGCCCATCAGGGGTGCTACCAACATGAACAAACACTTCTATTACTCCAGGATGTCTTCAGGAGAAGGTGAGACATTTTGCTACGCCCCATGCCACCTGCTCCCCCAACCCTGCCCAGAGACACAGGAAGTGCTCTGACGTCCCAATTCTCCCCTCGGGTGGGACAGTCCGGCTCTCTCAGGCACCTTGGAAAATTCTATAGACCCCGAGAAACAGCCACCCACACTCCCTCAGCACAGCCCAGGCTCTGCTTTCACATGGAGGGGATGAGAGGAGGTGGTGCATTGGGGTGCTGTTCCCTTCTCCCCCAGCCTGTCCATGTGTGCACGGAGTCTGCGATAACAGGATAGACAGTAACGGCACCTGCCTCCCTGGCACCTGCAGAGAAGGCACGGCTGGGACATTCTGTGACAGGCAGACTTCAACCTGCGGGCCTTACGTGCAGCTCTGTCACATCCACGCCACCTGCATCTACAGCAATGGGACAGCCAGGTAGGTCTGCGAAGGAAGGGAAGGGAAGGCCCTTCACAAGCCATGGTCACTGTTCACTGACAGTGGGGAGAGCATCTGGCCAGTGGGTCATTGGAGCCCCATGAAAGGAACATGGCTGGACAGACACATAGGCTTCTAGAACCACAGCTGTCTGTGGCCATCTGCCTGTTCTGATGACTTTGTATGGCCAATAAGGCTATTCGTATCCAAATGGCCTTGGCAAGACAAAAGATTCCTGACCCCTAACGGGAGTCAACCCATATCTAAACTCTTTAAACCAAGGCCTCTTCTTCCCCACTTTCAGTATACGACTTTTGTGAAAGAATCTCAGACTACGTGACATTCATTCAAATCGCATTACTCCTTGCTTTCACATTTAACAACTGTGTGACCTTGGGCAAGGTGCTTTGCCTCTCTAAGCCTTACTTTCCTCAGTAGGGCTGATGATACCTTCAGCACCCGGTTCTGGGGTCTCTCACATCCTAAATGTCCCATTGAATCAACCATAGTTATCATCAAATGGAAAGGTAACCACAAAAGCTGGCTCTTTTACTCTCTAAAACTGCTATTCATAGGGCTCCCTTGTCAAAAAAAATCTCTTTTTTTTTTGTTGGTTGTGGGGCCTGAACTCTGGGCCTGGGCACTGTCCCTCAGCTCTTCAGCTCAAGGCTAGTGCTCTACCACTTGAGCCACAGTGCCACTTCCAGCTTTTTCTGCTTATGTGGTGCTGAGGAATCGAACCCAGGGCCTCATGCATGCAAGGCAAGCACTCTACCACTGAGCTACCTTCCCAGCCCTTCAAAAAAACATCTTTCATGACACTGAGTGTCACCAATGGACAGACATAATCCTTCAATGGTGTCTCATAGCTGTTATGGGCTTGGCAGGGGAGGTAATAGAAACTGTTCCTCCCTGGGAGTATGGGGTTCCAAGGCTGGAACCACCAGAAATGCCCAGGAGAGCACAGCAGATGTGTGGAATTTCTGGCCCTGTTCCCACACCACATTTCTTCATTCATATGTACATAGTTATTTGTTCATTGTTTGGGTCAGGTGTCACTGCCCCCCCACACACACATACACCAACTGCAGAGTCCAGGCTACAGAAGGCCAGGAATGAGTCTTTCCTTTCTTCCTCCGACATTGAGAGCTATGATCCATCACTCACAGCTGACTCTGCACATGTTATATATTACCTGAGCTAACTCAGGGTTGGAATAAATGGACTAGTTCTTCAGTTGGACACCAGTATGTAGTTCCGCTATGGTTTTAGTCCATGAGTATGAAATTTCTAATTCTTGTGTAGCACATATGTCCATTTGCGGGAGGACATGCAGTAAGAGTAGAGCTCCCCGGGTCCCCAGCATCCATCAATTAAACGGATGAGTATGGCAAAAGCATCACGACAGAACATGTAGAGAAAGGTGCAAAGGGAACGTGAGTCGGCAAATTACATCCACTCACAGAATGGAGAAAATATTTCTCAAGTATCTGAGCAACAGGGAGAGAAGCCTCAGCTGACCACCATTTTCAAGGATGTTTGAGATCTAGCATTTTTGAGAGCCCATCCTTCCTGAGGTAGAGGTTGTTAGGGAAAATGGAGGAGAACAGGAAAGGAAGAGACCAGACTTGATTCTCCAAAGGCTAGTACTGCTTACTGCCACCTTCCCATGTGTTTGGAGGTTATACAAGGGACTGGAGTTGGGGTCCCCCTTAGATGGGCCTTAACAAGGAAACAAAGGAGTGAAAATCAGGCTGTAGTTAGGGGGGCAGGGACACACAGCAGAACCTAGGGATAAGTACTTTTAGGTGGGTTGAGAATGGAATGTCCCTCTTGGAGTGAGGGAGACTTCTGGCTGATCCCAAGCAGCTGAGTGCACACCCTGGCGTTTTGCTTGGCCTGGGGATTAAGGCGGGAGTCAATACTTCAGAGGTAATAACTAGCACCAAGCAGAAAGCTGTAAAGAGACCAGGTCTGGTGCAGTAAGAGCAGAAAATATGCCAGCTCCCGAGCCTTGTGGTGTTTCAGAGGCTCTGATGAATACTGCAAACGCATCCACTGTTTGAATCTTTAGGCCAGCCTTAGGTGGGAGGTGTCAGACACCTTCTCCAGATACAGGGTCACACAGCCACTAAGTGGGCCCTAGATCCTCACACAGGGAATCCTGACCATTCCCCACCCTGCAAACACCCATTGGTCCTTCACCCATTAGCTTTCTCCACAAGAGCTGTCAAGCCACTAAGCATGAAGCGGCTCCTTCCTGATGGCTCTCTCCTGCGTGGTTGGCACTCGTGTCTCTCTGGCTGATTTCATGTCTTCTTCACAGCTGCGTTTGCAAGGAAGGCTATGAAGGGGATGGGGCCTTCTGTTCCTTCTCAGACCCGTGCAAGGGACCAACTCGGGGAGGCTGTAGTCACAATGTGAGTATTGCTGTGGTTTAAATTTCCAAGCTGCCCTGCTTGGGAGGGTGGGGAGTATTTTTTTTAAAGAAATCTCAGGGAGTATTCCAAAATGCCATCTCTAATCACCTTTCATATGCAAAGAACACTTGTGTTTGAATTTTAAAGAAGACTAGCTGTGAGCCTCCTCTCCCTAAACCCAAATATTAATGCAGGGAGCTTTAGGCTTTGTAATAATAGTGATGATTTTACACTCCTCTTCCCATCTACACACATACACAGCCTAAACCAGATGAAGCTGGTCAAGTTTGTAATTCTAGCTACTTGGGAGGCAGAGGTTAGGGGGGATCACAGTTCAAGGCCACCTGTGACATAGAAGTTCATGAGACTCCATCTTAACCACTGTGAGCACAGTGGGACATGCCCTTTATCCCACCTATACAGAAAGCACCATGGCTGGTTGGGTGCAATATCCATCATCTCCAGTGACACAAGGGAGCACAAGTAGGAGGATCACAGTCCAGGAATGCCCTTGATCTAGACAGAGACAAAGCCAGGCACCGTGGCTCACACCTGTAATCCTAGTTATTCAGGAGGCTGACATCTGAGGATCTCAGTTTGAAGCTAGCCGAGGCAGGAAAGTCCATGAGACTCTTATGTACAATAAATTATTCAAAAATCTCAAAATGGCACTGTGACTCAATTGTTAGAGTGCTTGCTTTTTGCAAGAGAAGCTGAGGTACAGTGCCTAGGCCCAGAGTTCAAGCCCCAGGACTGGAAGAGAGAGAGGGGAGAGAGAAAGAGAGGGAAGAATACCTTGAAAAAACCAACCTGAAAAGGGGCTTAAGGTGTGGCTCAAGTGACACCGAGCAAGTACAAGGCCTAAGTTCAATGCCCAAGGCCACTAAAACAACAATAACAATGACATCAATACAACCTGAGCATTAGATGTTGAAATCAGTAGCAATAACTCGACAGCTTACAAGGGACTATAATGCACCTGACCTCATTTCCTTCTTCTACCAACGCAATGAAGTAGGTTATTAAGAAACTGAGGCTCGGGCAAGCTAACAGGCTCGCTCTTAGCTTTATATTCTTAGGGGCATAGCCAGAATCCACTAATACTTTTACCAGTCTCTTCCAAAGATCACAGCCACCACCTGCCCCTAATCACCTTCATTGCTCATGGCTGGTCCCAGCTTCCTACATAGTCAAAATGACTCAAGCAAACCAGACCATTTCTTCTGGGCTTAAATCCCTTCTAGAAATCCTCATAGTTCTGGGGATGAAATCTTGGTTTATAAATTATTACCTTTAAGTAGTTGTACAAAGGGATTTCAAGTCAACATGTCAGTTTATAAGTACAGTGCATCTTGGTCAATATCACCTCCTCCATTGTTCTTCCCCAGCTCTCCCAAGCCCATCTACCTCCTCAAGTTACCTGGCTCTATTTTCACATACGTACATTGAATAATATGAGGCTATTCCCCCACCCTTCCAATTGTCTGCCTCCTTCCCCTTGACCAACCCCCCACCCCCCACCTCCATGAAATTTTGACACAACTGCCAGCCCAGCCCACCAGATTGCTCGAGGAGAGTTCCACCTACCTTAGCTCTTATACATCAGCTCTCCTCCTTCTTGCCCTGTCCTTCAGCCTCCTGGTGTGGTCATCCTGAGAAGCTGGGATGTAGTTGATGTTGTGGTTTGGAGCTTGAGTCCCAAAATCATAAGGACGCAAGTTCATTCCCCTCTAGCTATGTGCTGTGTGTGATCTTAGCCAACACCTGAGCCCTCATTTGTAAAATCAAGATAACAGTGCCCAAGGTAATGGTCTACACCTGCAAACCAAGCAGCCCCTGGTTTAATCAGCAACATGTGATGTGAATGGTGGCCATTAGCTGGACAGCTAAGCAGTTTTACTGTTGACGCCATCGAGAATCTTGCCATTGATGTACATGCAATCAAGCCTCTCAGTCATTTCTACTGTACTCTATGCAAACAGGTGCTTCTAGAATAAATATCTGGATCTTTTCTGACTTTTGGCATTCTGAAGCCACAGTCTGCGTTCAGAGGTTTGGCTTTGTCTCATCTTCTTACAGGCAGAATGCATCAAAACCAAGGCAGGGACACACACCTGCGTGTGCCAGCAGGGCTGGACAGGGAACGGAAGAGATTGTGTGGAGATCAACAACTGCCTGCTTCCAGGAGCAGGTGGCTGTCATGCCAATGCCACCTGCTTGCACGTGGGCCCTGGGCAGGTGAGTAGCGCATTTCTATGTAAGCATTCATTCACTTCATCATGTGTCCATTCTCGTCAGGTGCCCCTGAGCAGAGCGAGATCAGAGCTTATCAAAACCAGTTGGCCTCAGCCCGGGAGAGGCACTTACAGACAACAAAAGAATACATGCTCTCAAATCCATGCAGAGGGAGGCTATGGTCTGGCTGGTTGGTACCTGGGCTCTGGATTGCTATTCTATCTATGATGCTGATTTTGTCTGACAGCAGACTTGGTTCATTGGTCTTGCAGTAAGTGAACTTCAAACTGTAGTCTCAGGAGTGGGATAACTGTGGAAGAGCTCACTGTAGCCTTTTGTCTCATGAAGCATTTAACGAATGTTGCCATTGGCTTTTGACTCACTTGAATTGTGGCAATTCAAGTGAAAATTCAAAAAGAACCAGAGAGCTATCAGATTGGAAACCTTAACATAGAAGGTGTAAGAAGGCTTCCCTGCCATCTGAAGACTAACAGACAGGAGGCATTGTCACTCTATCCTGCAACAGCCCAATAGCTATTGTGACCATAGTTTTCGCAGTTTGCTTTGCAGGGCCTATGAAGGTAAAGCATGAAAAACACGTGCTTTCAGTAACCCCTTTTACTGTGTTCTTGGGCTTGTAGAATGAGTGTGAGTGTAAGAAAGGATTTCGAGGAAATGGGATCGACTGTGAACCAATCATTTCATGCTTGGAACAGACGGAGAAATGCCATCCATTGGTAAGTTACTTGCCTAGTTTTCATTCACACAAATAAACTGAGGACTGTTGTTTGAAGCCAGCCTGGGCAGGAGACTCTTATCTCCAATTAATGGCTCAAAAAACAGAAATGGAGCTATGGCTTAAAGTGGTACAGCACTAGTCTTGAGCTAAAAAGCTCAAGGACAGCACCCAGGCCCTGAGTTCAAGCTCTATAACCAACCAAAAAAAAAAAGAAAGGAAGAAGGAAGGAAGGAAGGAAGGAAGGAAGGAAGGAAGGCACCATGTGCATCACTTCCTGTCACTATCAGAAAGTATCTGAAAAATCAGTTTAAAAAATAGAATGTATATGTGGGCTTATGGTTTAAGAGATTATATCTGTGGTCACTCAGCTTCATTTTTCTGGGCCCATGGGCAATGAGACAGGGTATCATGATGCCAAGCCTGTAGTGGAACAAAGCTGCTCATCATATCACAGACAGCCAGAGAGGAAGGGGCCGGAGCAATACACCCCCAAGCACACACGTATCACCCATCCCACCCCTATGACCTACTTCCTCCAACTAAGCTTAACCTTCAAAAGTGTCCTCCACCTCCCAAGACTGCCATGAAACTCTGAGCCCATCAGTAGCTTGCCCCATTGACAAATCAGCACTTCATGTTCCAGCCATGCCCCAAAGCCTCCCCTTTGAACATGTTGCCCTAGGGGCAAGCCCTTAACCACCCACCTGAGCCTTGAGGGGGACACTTCACATCCAAACCAGGACAGTGATTCATTACTAGTAATGAACAAAAGGAGTCCCTAAGCAGAATGTAAGCCGCTATTGCAATTTTCACTCCACTTCAAGCTGGGAAGAGCCCACTGGAGGTCAGTGGATAAAATATAGGACACCCCATTGGATTTGAATTTCAAATTCATAAAGAGTAAATCTGGGCTTGGGAGTATGGCTTAACTGCCAGAAGAATATGTTTTCAGCAAAAGTGTACCCCAAATACTACACGAGACAAGCTTATACTAACACATACTCATCCTTGGGCTGAAACTCAAAGCTACCAGTGTGTCCTGCATTCTTGATTTGCTAAATGTGGAAAGGATGGAAAGAATCTCATTGCGACAAAGTACACATTGCAGACAGAGGCTTCTGCCCACAACTGTAAAGGGTCTGCCTGCGCCATCGTTCAGCCCTGAGTCTGCAGTCTGACCATAAATAGGGCCTCCCAAGTGGAGATGTTTCACAGACATAACTCTGTTCTAATGCTCTTGTTAGGAAAACATGTCATTTCCCTCCTCTTGGTTCCCTCAGGCTACCTGTCGGTTTGTTTCTTCTGGTGTCTGGAGCTGTGTTTGTCAGGAGGGCTATGAAGGAGATGGTTTTTTGTGCTATGGAAATGCAGCCATGGTAAGTCACCTGTGAAGACTCAAAGTGCAGAGTGACAGAGATGATTCTTGGGTAAGATGCCTTGAACGTGCTCTGGATACATGCCCTGGGCTCCAGTTGGCATGAACCCAGCCCTGTCTCACAAATACCACGCATGCTTCCTGAGTCACTCCTTTCCCACTGGCTCCAGGCAGCCAACTTATTTGGAGCCTTCTGTACTCCAAGTCATCATGGTTCTGTGGTTACCCATCTATCTGTTTCCCAAACTTCCCAAATGAGAACCTAAGTGGCCTTAGCCAGACTGCCTGGACTCCCCTGTCTGAGTTGGTGGGTACCTCCCATGAGTGCTCCCTGAGCACCCTGCTCTTACCTCTATCAGGAGGTATGTGTGTGAGAAGCCCTCTGTGTACTGGGCATCTTAATAAGTCTTTACCATGCTGTAACATCTCATTTAAATTTATTACACCCATTTACAGGCCAGGAAACTAAGAGGCCAAGCAAATTTTCCCAAGGTCAATGGCTGTCTAAGGGCACAGGTGGCAGAGTGTTCTATCCATGTGGCATGGATCACACCAAATCGTTAGTGTCTCTACATTGTTTTCTCTCTCCCAGTACTGGACTGTAAACTCCAGGGGAAAGAGCATTCACAATCACTCCCAGATACCCCCATCACTTTTAAATGTTTGTCACCATGAGAAATAAGGCAGGGAACAGTGGGACCTGCTTATAATTTCAGCTATTCAAGTGGCACAGGTCGAAAGATCACAGTCTGGGGCCTGCCCCTGGAGAAAACATGAGACCCTATTTGAAAAGCAACAATAGAAAAAAGGAGGGGGGTAGAGGCATGGCTCAAGTGGTAGAGCCCCCATTACCACCACCACCCATTTCAATCTCCAGTACTAGGGAAGGAGGGGAGGGAGAGGGAGAGGGAAGGCTGGAGGGAAGGGAAGTGCAGGTGCCCCAGAACCTAGCTGTGATGAAACTTCTCGCTGTTTCTGTGTTCTTTCTTGTCTCTCCCTTGCATGAAATGAAAAAGGAATTATCGTTTCTCTCTGATGCAGTTATATTTAACCAATGGATAAATGTGAGTACCTTTGTTGCAATTTAAATCTGGCAGCCTGTACCATTTCAGAAAATTGGGATGTTTTTAATAGAAAACTCAGCCAGGTGCTGGTAGTTCACACCTATAATCTCAGGAGGCTGAGATCTGAGGATTGTGGTTCAAAGTCAGCCTGGGCAGTAAAGTCCATGAGATTCTTATATCCATGTAAGCATCACAAAAAGCCAGAGGTGGAGCTGTGGATCAAGTGTTAGAGTGCTAACCTTGAGCACAGAGAAGCTCAGGGACAGAGCCCAGGCCCGAGTTCAAGCACTAGACTGACACAAAAAAAGAAAAAGAAAAGCCAGGCATCCATGGCTCACGCCTGTAATCCTAGCTACTCAGGAGGCTGAGATCTGAGGATCACGGTTCAAAGCCAGCCTGGGCAGAAAAGTCCAAGAAACTCTTATCTCCAATAAACCACCAGAAAACTGGAAGTGGCGCTGTGGCTCAAGCGGTAGAGCACTTAAGTTATCTTGAGCTGAAGTGCATAGGGACAGTGTCCAAGCCCAGAGTTCAAACCCCACGACCGAGAAAAAAGAAAAAAAACAAACCTGAGACATCTAGTGAGAAGAAAAGGGATTGCCCCCCACACTGAGGCTCAGCCCTGACAGCACTCTAGAACCTCAGGAAGGACATTTCTACACACTCCTAACAGAGTCCACCCCAGACTCTGACTCTATCGGTCAGATATTTTCCCTAAGTGTCATGTATTTTAAAAGCTACCTAATGCTGCTCAGATGGAGCCAGGGCTGAGAATATACAGCCCAGGGCAAAGTCAAGGTCTTTTTTGAAAAGACTATCACAATTCATGTTGTAACTCACCGTGTCACCTTTGCATTTTTTTTTGTTTTTTTTTTGGCTGCCATCTGAGATGCTTTGCATGTGCTTAGCTCTCTGCTAAGCCCTTTTGGGCTTGGGGAGTTGACCCTTCACCTCCGGGAAGTATAATGGAGACTCCAATCTCCCTGCTCCATTGTCTACATCCCGTCCTCTGAATGGACCCTGGCATCTGGCCCAGCCACTATCAGTACAATGGTTCTCTGGCTTTACATTAGGAATATGTCGATAGACCCTTCCTGGTCAGTACCCACTCCTGGACAGCTCCCTGCTGCTTCCTGTCAGGCAAGACAATGGACTGCACCGTCTCTAGAGTATGCTGACATCCACCTAGACCCATCACACCCGCTCTCAGCCCACAAGCATGTGATTACACACCCGAGTGCTGGGTCTCATTCTTCTACCTGATCAGAGCAGTTTTCCCAACTCCACCTCCGATATTATAACCACCATTAGCTTGAACTTAGTACTCATGGGAGAATTTACACCAGAGTAATCAGCAAAGCTGACAAGCCAGGATTTGGGATTCCCAGGCACAAAAGTCCATGAAACTCTTACCTCCATGAAACAACTCAGAAAGGCAGAAGTGGAGTTGGGGCTCAAATGGTAGAGTGCTGGCCTTGAACAAGAAAGTTCAAAGACCTGAGTTCAGGACCTGAGTTCAAGTCCCAAGACCAGAACAAACAAACAAAAATAGTGCACACTTGACCACACACACACACACACACACACACACACACACACCAGTGCAACCTGATCAGAAAATTTAAAATTTGAAAGGGTCACACATTTTAAACAAAAAGAAAGACCATCAGCCAATGGCCGGGGTGGATTTGGGAAAGGGGCCTTCCTGCATCCCTGGAATTACATTACACGGGAAGTCTTCATCTCTGCCAAGCCTTTAGGTCCGCCCTGTTTGTTCCCTCATGTAGTCAGGTCACCTATTTCCCTCCTGTCATTCAGAATGCTTCTTTCCAATCCATGCTGTCTACCACCTTGAACCTCACTATCCTCGTGCCTTCAAAGCAAGCTATTGAGGACATGGACCCAAAGGAGAAGACCTTTTGGTTATCAAAGAACAATATAGAAGCCCTAATAAAGTAGGTGTAACTGATTCTGTTCTCCCTGGCACTCACCAATGTCAATGTGAACAGGTACCATAGCGGTTTAATGAAGAATCCCAGGGCCCTTCAGATCCATAGACTCAAGCACTTCTGGGATTCTTCTCCCTTCCCAACTATGGAACGAGTGAAGGTTTACTGACAGCTCATCCTGGACTAAGCACTGTCCTCGCCTCTTTCAACAACTAATACCCCCAAGAGACAGGCGCTATAATTATTGCCATCTTACAAATGTAGAAACTGAAGCTGTGGGTGGTTAATAACTCCAGACAAGGCTGCTAACTACAGAGAGGCATTTGAATTTTGAATATGGTAGTCTGGGTCCAGGGCTTATTCTTCTAATATGAAATAGTACTGATATTTACTTATAACCACTATGGTCTGCTATTTCAGACACCACATGCTGGTGGGCACATACAGAGTAGCAGATCTGCAAACCCTATCACCTTCTGACACAGTGGCAACATCTTTGCAGGGCAGCTTCCTTCGTCTGGACCAGGCAGATGGGGTAAGATGGATCAGTCACTGGGCTGTTTATAGTTGTAATATGCTCCTTTGCTTTGATATGGAAATTTCCAAATGTGTAAAAACAGAGAAAATAGAAGTGGGTATTACCCATTTGCATCAGTTAGCAACATAGATTCATACACATACCATGCTATACAGCGTAGTTCCCACTGATTGGCCCCAGTACTCCTCCTGACAGACAAGGAGAAAGCTGTACAATGCATATTTTGATTTTGATGTATAGTTATCTAAGAACCGGTAACCAATAGCCCATACATGGAGCCATTATAGTAACCCAAATTATAGTCATGATTATGTACCACTTTCGTGTATGAGCATGGATCCCCAGATCTCCATGCTGGAGGGGTGAATGGCAAAGGATGAGCTGAGCCCCAGAGAAACTCAACATTGTCACTGATGGAGTGTGTTAAGGACTCAGATTTTGAATCCCCTGGGGTACTCTGGATGCCTGGCTGTGTGTGACAGCCGATTACAGCGCTAGGGAAATTGCACATGGAATGAATGGGGATTCCACCAGAGAGGGCATGAGAACAGCATCCATCCAGTCCAAGAATCACTACTTGGAAAACATTCCACCTGCTCCTCAGTAGAGAGAGCACTGGGGAAGGAAGGAACCCAATGAGCTGTGTGGTTTATAGTAGAGACCAGAAACCACTTACAGGACCCCATGGATGTCTTTGATCATCTTATTTGGATAATTCTGGTGACATTTATGTTTTCATCTTAGTTTTGTTTTTAGTTTTAAAACTATGAGATAGGTTTATGGGTATAAAGACATAGGGAGCTGGGTGGAATATATGCTGATATACCATTACACAAATGGCTTAATGCTAATGATATTGTAACATAAATGAGATAGCTAGAAAAGAGGATTTGAGCATTGTCACCACAAAAAAATGAAAATGATTGAGCTTATGAAGAGCCTGAAGTGATCATTGCAGAATATACAAATGTGCTATAATATCACACTGAACCCCATAACTGTGTGTAACTATCCTTTATGCTTAACACATGTACAATATAATGTCTTCATCACGTGTGATGATTACTACAGCGTTGCCCATCTGTTGGTGTTTTAAACCATCAATTCTCTCCGCAATGCTAACTCAACGCCCACCCACCATAGGCAAGCATTGCCCATGCTTTAGAGATTCAAATATAAATCAGTCATGACCTTGAATTACAGGCACTAGCCATCAAAGACACATTTGTAATCAATTCATTCCTGTGTCATCTGATATCAGTGCCTTTGGTTAAAGACCAAAGAGATGTGCAAAGTCATTTGGAATGTTGCCTGCCTGGCTTTGCTCATGGAACTGGGGAGCTGCTGAGAGTGAGGCAAATCTCCTTCCTCATTCAGGGTCTCCAGGAGACCTTCAAATCAAGGTCATAGGTGAGAACAGAGGAGAGGACACCAGAGAAAGTAGACCTTAGTTGTCCTTGGTAGGGGGGTGGGAGGTGGGTAGGTTGGGTTTTAATTAGCCCCATTCCATGTGTAATGAATAGTACTAAAATGTGGCCAAGAAAGTCAACTCCAGTCTGTATGAGATTGTTACAGCTGCTCAACAAAGAGCCATAGCTCTACAATTTACTGTGAGTTGATTTTCTTACTGTTTTGAAGCTGAGAAGTCCGAGTCAATGTGTTGGCAGTTGGTTCCTTGTGAGCCCTGCGAGATGGAGCTGTTTTAGGCCGGTCTCCTTGTCAAGTGAACATCGTCCTTCCACAGCTGTCTCCATGGAGATTTCCTCTTTTTTGTCATCTGTGAGGCTTGAACTCAGAGACTGGGCACTGTCCCTGAGCTCTTTTGCTCAAGGCTAGTACTCTACCACTTTGAGCCACAGCTCCACTTCTGGTTTTTCTGGTGGTTCACTGAAGACAAGAGTCTCATAGATTTTCTTGCCCAGGCTGACTTTGAACCACAGTCCTTAGATATCAGCCTCTTAAGTAGGTAGGATTACAAGCATGAGCCATCAGCACCCTGCTATTTCTTCTTTTTAAGAACTATAATTATCTTGATTGGGACATCTAAAAAACTCGTTGCAGAGCACCTCTGTAAAGACTTTAAACTGCAATCAATTTTACAATCTGAGGTTCTGGGAGTTAATGCTTCAACATAAGAATTGTGGGAGTTGGGCTGGGAAGGTGGCTCAGTGGTAGAGCGCTTGCCTTGCATGCCTGAGGCCCTGGGTTCAATTCCTCAGCACCACATAAGCAAAAAGAAAAAAGCCGGAAGTGGCACTGTGGCTCAAGTGGTAGAGTGCTAGCCTTGAGCTGAAGAGCTGAGGGACAGCGCCCAGGCCCAGAGTTCAGGCCACGACTGGACCAAAAAAAAAAAAGAATTGTGGGAGTGTGGGACATACTTCAATCTACAACACTGTCTAGGTGTTTTTCAAAGTGCAGGATTAGTTTAACAAGCTCCAATCAACACTTCTTTAGTGAAACAGAATATAAACTGTTGAATGAAATTGACCATCCAAGAACTTTCCAGATTCCAGATAACTAGAGAATGTACTCTCTCATTGTGTGTGTGTGTGTGTGTGTGTGTGTGTGTGTGTGTGTGTGTGTGATGTCTAGTGAGCCACAATTTAAGGTGTCTCTTCTTGTGGGTTACAGTCCAAATGCATGTAAGTCCCTGCTTCTCAATTACCTAAGGTAATTCTGCCTCTGTATGCATTCACTAAAGACTCGCCCCCCCCCCGCCCCTACCGCACTGTGGTTTGCATTGCAGAACATCACAATTGGCGGTGCATCCATCCTTGATGGTGACAACGTAGCCACCAATGGAGTGATCCATGTCATCAACAAGGTAAAAGTCCCTCCTCCACACAGATGACATCTCTGCCCCATGCTACTCTCTTTCCTTTCCTACTTGGCAATGATTGGGGAAAATAAATAATATTTAGCCTTAGTATAAAAATAACCTGATCCTGCCACCAGTAGTTCACGCCTATAATCCTAGCTACTCAGGATGTTGATATCTGGAGGATTGAAGTTCAAAGGTAGCCCAGGCAACAGAAGTCCAAAAGACTCTATCTCAAATTAAGCAGTAAAATTCCAAACTGGAGATGGTTCAAGTGGCAGAGCAGAGCCCTAGCCAAGAATAAACAAGCTGAGCAAGAATGAGGCTCTGAGTTCAAACTCCAATATTGAAAAAAAAAAGTAACTTGGATTGTGTTTTATTACCTTTACTTTTAAATCATTTAGAAGGCAGGCGCCTGTGTCTCATGCCTGTAATCCTAGCTACTTAGGAGGCTGAGATCTGAGGCTCAAGATTTGAGGCCAGCCCAGGTAGGAAAGTTCATCAGACTCTTACCTCCTATTAGCCACCAAAAGGCAGGAGATGGAACTGTGGCCTTGAGTGAACAAGCTAAGGTACTGCACTGAGGCCCTGAGGTTAAGTTCTAGGACCAGCAAAGATAGATAGATCAATAGACAGATATAGATAGATAGACAGATACATACATACATAGACAGACAGACAGACAGACAAATAGTAAAAAGCCATTTAAAGCTCTCTTCCTTCAGTCAGCCCACAGACTCCACTATTATTTTCTCAGCCTGTATTCTGCAACAGGCCCTTTGCCAGCAGTGGCCACACATGCCTTTCCTTGTGGCACTATGTGAAAAGAGACAGGAGCACCCCGGCATAGGGAATTCCAGAATCAAGGACGGGGAGGGCTGGCGCTATATCATTGCTCACTCCCCTCTCTCCATTATCATACCTTCAGTGAAAATTGGGGAAAGAGTAGAAAAAGTCTTAGGAGATTTCCATTTTCTTCCAAGTCCCCATTCATCTGTATTCAGTGGTATCAAATACAATGAAAAGGCGCTGTATGCCACCCTGTAATTTTCGCTTACTATATTAGGACCTTCATTAGAAAATGAAAGTTAGAACTCATGGAGAAAGTATAAGGCTAGGAGGGAAAGGGATTAAATCATTGCATTTCAATTTAAATTGTTCTGACCTGGCCCTCCTTCTCACGCTTTGAGACTAAGCTCTAGAAAAGGTTAGCTATTTGTGGTCAGGAGAGAGGCCAGCTGTTTGAAAGTCCTGGCCTGCTGCTTTGTAAAGATCCTGTGGTCAGTCCTCCTTAACCAGTAAGTGATAAGATGCACCTTGTTTGTTTGTTTGTTTGTTTTATGGTACTGAGTATTGAACCCAGAGCATTGCACCTGCTAGGCAAGCACTTTGCCACTGAGCTATACCCCAGCCAGGCTTCGTTTTTCCATTTTGTTTTGAAAGTTTTAGCAAGGACTTATTTTAGCAAAATAGGATTCAAGTAGGGAAAAGTTGAAAAGAAAAAGAAACAATTTCTATTCCCCATGTAGGAAATGGGAGTTAAAGACTCCATTTTCCACCCCATTTTCATCACTTGGGAGAAACTGACTTCAGATACTACAAAGTAACAGTCTAGCCTCAAACCACAACCCCCCACAACTCCACTTTCCATATATCTAGGATTACAGGCAACTACTACCATGCCCGTCCTCAAAATTATTTTCAACAAGGGCAGCAGATTCGTTTGGGCTGCTTCAGTGATATCCTTTTCAAAGAAGACCCAGGTCTTAATCACAATTGTGAACCTACTGGCTGGCCTATAGTAGAAACTCAGTAAATATAGGCAGAAGGTGGGTTGGATGAGGAAAACACTCCAATGCTGTATTAATCCATCTAAGAACAAGAAGGTAGAAATAGTGATCATTAGCCATGCCAGCTTGCAAACTCAGATACCCGGATGGACTGGTGGGGAGGGGAGGAAAAATGAAGGAGAGGAGCAGATGAAAGGCATCAGGGCATGAGGTGGCCTGAGCTGACAGTGGCTACTGCTTTATCACTGGAAAGGCAGACTGAGGGCTTTAAAAAGAAATCCAGAATATTGCCAGATACTGGTGACTCAAGCCTGTAATCCAAGTGACTCAGGAGGCTGAGATCAGAGGATTAAGGTATGAAGTCAAAGTGGGCAAGAAAGTCTGTGAGACTCTTATCTCCCATTAACCACCCAAAAATAAGCCTGCAGTTCAAGTGATAGAGTGTCAGCCTTGAGGGGAAAAAAAAAAGCTAAGGACACTGCCTGGACCCTGAGTTCAAGCTCAGTACCAGTACTGGTACCAAAAAAAAGCTGATTTCTAAATCTACAAAAAGAAGTGAATAGGAATCCCACAGGTATATGAAAGCAGCAAATGCTACCAAATTTGTGCTAAACTGAATTTGGGGGCTTCCTGTCCCAGGTGCTGGTCCCCCTCAGAGGACTATCTGGCTACTTACCCAACCTGCTCACCCGGCTGGACCAGATGCCTGACTATTCCATCTTCCGGGGCTACATGATTGCAAGTACCACGTTCTCAGCATGACCCCCTTGCTTGTTGTCTGGGAAACAGGAATTCCTCACATGCTCTCGTCTTCCCTTTGCAGCAATACAACCTGGTGAATCAGGTTGAAGCGGCAGATGCCTACACTGTGTTTGCTCCCAATAACAATGCCATTGAGCGTTATGTCAAGGAGAAGAAGGTCTCAACTCTAGTAGGTATCAGAAACGTTAGCCAGGAAAGTGATTTCCTAGAAAGTCAAACATGCATCCTCAACAGGTCTCATTTCATCAGTCCTGTGCACTTCACTTTGCTCAAAACCTGCTGTCTAAGAAGGGTTTTTTTTCTTCTTTTCCTTTTCTTTTTTGTCTTGTTTGTTCATTTGTCCATCTTTGGGTGGGGGGGGGATAAGGGGAGCACAGGAAGGGAGGGACATATGGTGAACAGTTGAACATGAATTATACAATTTGTGGTCAGGGACAGGAGAGAAAACCTGAGAGAGAAGGAAAGGAAAGGAGAGAAGGTAATGTACTCATTACCTGACCTATGAAACAGTAACCCCTCTGTACATACCCTTTATAATAACAATTTAAAAAACCCTGCTTATCTAGACACACATAGAGATTTAATAGAGACTGGTGAGTATGGACCCACACACATGCATGCGCGCATGTGCGCACGTGCACACACACACACACACACACACACACACACACACACAGAAGCCTTCATCATGAAGACTGCCCTTCCTCCTCACCAATTCCTGAATGGTTTAAAATCATCTTCCCTAACCATTGTGTAGCACAGCTAAGTGCAGTCAGGAAGCTACAGAAGAGTCTTTGGACAAGTCAGGGTCCACCAGGAGACACAAGCCATACCAGTTATTCCGAGAGAATTTAAGTGTATACATTTGTTTGATGCTGGTGTCTGAGCATAGAGGGTTCTTGTGGGCTCAAAACCCAGAGGTCCAGAACATTGCCAGCTACTGTCTCTGATATGGGGAGGATAGGAGTAACAGAAAACGACCGTCAGAGTAGAGGAAGGGATTGGAGCAACCTTCTTCTTGCCTTCCCTGAAATATACTTCTATTCCTCTTCCTGTTCTCATTAAACTCAAATCTTGATTTTTCCAGGTGGGGATATAGGAAGTGTTGTTCACTGGGAAAAGACAGTAAGAAGACAGCAAGAGGGTAGGAAGGAGCCAAAAAAATGTAGAACCCACCTCTAGCTTTGCTGTAGAAAAGCCTGTCTGCCCTGCCCTTCTAGGCTGCCATCTTGGATAAGACTCAAGTACTCAAAGACACCGCCCCACAATCAGGCCGCACACACTCTCTCATTCCCATTGTCTAAGGCAGTTGGGAATGTAGGACTACCGCCATTACAGTAGCAGCTCTCTTGAGACCACTGCTGAGTGACCAGCCGCAGACCCTGGCTTGGGAGATCTCTCATACCTGAGTCACCCCAACCCAATATCCACACCACCTACAAGATACCCAGGTCAAGATCTTTGAGACATGCCCTTGAAATTCCTCTCGGGATCCCTGAGACACAGCAAGCTGAGCATGGGAATTCTCATCATAGATATTCTGCTCATAAGGATCCTCTTTATAATCCATCTCCAACATTCACACCCTCCATCTGGGTGTTTAAGTCACCTGACAAGTCTTGACCATCCTTCTTGGAAACTCTACACATTCTCTAAAGCAATCTCTTTCACAAGTTAACTATGTAATATTTTCTGTGTCCTGATGGCTTGGTCAAAACTTCCACTTGGACAAGCCACTGATACTCTTTGTCACCCCTGAGATGCTGGCTCAGTGGGACAGCCTGTAACCAACTGGGTGAGCTGGTGACTGACTTCCCTTATGTGTGGTGCAGGAAGAGGACATCATCCGGTACCATGTGGTCCTGGAGGAGAAGCTCCTGAAGAACGACCTGCACAATGGCATGCACCGGGAGACCATGCTGGGTTTCTCCTACCTCCTGGGCTTCTTTCTCCATGATGACCAGGTGTGTCCTTTTACTCATTACTCAGGAACAAGTATCTCAGACACTTCTCTTCCACACTGCCATGATCTCTGACTCCTGACCAACACGACAGGTATCTGAGTTCTACCACTAAGGGCTAAGCCAGATAGTCAAGTTTCACACTCATATACCTGGTGGTCAGCCCTCAGGTGACTGGTATTGCCCATGGATTGTGGTATTTTAATGCCTTAAGTCATAGATACCCTTTGGCCCTTGTACCAATACCCAGTAGACAGTCACCAAGTAGTCTCCCTGATAGAAGCCATCTAGAAGCTCAGCTAACTCTCAGGATGCACCACTGGTTCCAACAGTCCAAGACTAGTAGCCAAATGAATGGAAGTTATTAGCATTGCAGTCATAGAGATTTCAGAGCATAAGTCCCTGAGTTCAAGACCCAGTACACACACATACACACACACACACACACACACACACACACACACACACACACACACACAGAGGGAGAGAGAGAGTAGTGTTAAAGTAAGTTTCCACAAGAAATATTAGCAAAAACTAAGTTGTTATTTATGAGACACTGAAGAGTATATTGAAATGAAACCTTAACTGTAGAACCTTTAACCAATAATGTTATTTAATTCTTTTTGAAAAGTGCAATCTTAAAAAACACATAAACTTTTTAGGTGAAATATTTTTTAATCCAAAAAAAAGGCCTTTCCCACTCTTTATTCCATGGGAAATAATCTAACTCCAAATATTTTTCTCTGACTCCTATAAATAATTCTATCTATTGTGTCATGACTATGAAGAGGCCTTTGAAATATGTTTTCTTATTTTTTCAAGAATAGCAATTCTGTCATTGATAGAGAGCTTTCACTTTTGTTTTTATCTTTTATTTCAGTGGATAGAGATGAATATTCCAGTGCTGTTAGTTAAGTCCATTTTGGTGTTGTTACGTTTATTTTCCATTTATCCAAAAGTTCTTGGATATAGAGCAAGAATTATTTGTCAGTCCTGGGGCCTGAACTCTGGGCCTGGATGCTGTCCCTCAGCAAGAGCAAGAATTATTCTTATAATAGGAGATTTGCTTTTATAGGATAGTCATTGGCTTTTTCACCTGACAATGAAAGCATGGGGGAAATGCCTTCAGAATGAGTTGGTGTATTTATATCAAAATTATATAACAACCCATAATTCTCTGGATATGCCCTATGATGAAAACGATTCAGCCTTTTAAAGGCCAAATTAAACAACTTTATAACATCCAATGTTCTGCTCTTTGAGTATTTAAAAATAGCTCAGCATCATGGGATTCTTGAAATTTATGCTATCATCATCACTTGAGACTAAATAAGGTTTCCTGATGGTTTTCTAAATGTGTACAGACCTTCAAGTGCCTCTGTGTGGTGTTTAACCATAATTTATCCCATCATCCAAACAGAAATTCATTTGAAGCTGGGCATCACCATGCATGCATACCTCCTATAATGGGGGTAGAAGTAGGAAGATTATGGTCTGAAGCTGGTTGGGGTAAAAGCACAAGACTCTACCCAAAAACAACAATAGAATAAAAAGCTAAAAAGAAAAAACAAAACTATTTGGCAGCACATTTTCCTACCAAGCATAGGTCTTGAGTTCAATCCCTAGTACAGAGAGAGAGAGAGAGAAAAACAAGAATGAACAAGAAAGCTATCTGGCTGCAAGTAAACCAGAAAGGATGTTAGGATTCAGTCAAAATTCAAAATATAAGCACTTAGGATTATTTTCCTATTGCAGCAGTGGGAGTTTTCTGGGACCACCCTGCCAAGCACACTAACATAAAATATGAGGCAGTATTTTTTCAAACAAGCATAAACCTTTCCATCTGAGAGATGAGTAGCTATCTTAAAGACTATGTACAATACCCTCTTCCTTCTACATAAGAGAATTTTCAGTGCAGGTGGCCCAAGGCCACAGAGCTACATGTGACCAGATGCAGAGCTAAGCTTCACATTACCCTCTCCTAGGCCAGAGCTCTGTCATGTGCTATCTTCTGTCAGGAGGCTCCTGGAATATCTCCCAGTCTAAGTGATAGCTTCTATTCCCTTCTTCCCAATCTCCCTTCAAAACTCTTTCATAAAGTCTCACTCAACCCTCTTGTTCACAGCTCTATGTAAATGAGGCTCCAATAAACTACACCAATGTAGCCACTAACAAGGGCGTGATCCATGGCTTGGGGAAAGTTCTGGAAATTCAGAAGAATAGATGTGATATTAATGACACCACTATTGTACGAGTAAGTTATATTCAGAGCCGATGAGGTAACTGATGGGTTTGGGAATCTATTTTATAATTTCTTAAGCCCAAGAATATCCTATATGATATCTCATTTCAGCCTAAAAACTCCTCAGTGAGCATCTCTGATATCCTAGGCTGGGGTTTACAAGGCTACTTAGTTAAGTCACAATGGGTTGATCATTTGTCTCTGAACCTGGTCCAATTCACTCATTCAGCAAATGGGGATTGCTGTTATAGGAATTCAGATTTAAGTGAATAAATATGTCCACATCTCAAAGGGTTATTATAAGCACATCACAAGAAAAAGTCTGGTCCAATTCACTCATTCAGTAAATGGGGATTGCTGTTATAGGAATTCAGATTTAAGTGAATAAATATGTCCACATCTCAAAGGGTTATTATAGGCACATCACAAGAAAAAGTAATTGTTAAACATGCAAGACCCATAGTAAGCATCTGGTTCAGAGAACATCTGCAAGGTTGACCAGATGCCCCCCGCTGATTTTCAGCTCTATATGCTGAAATTTTTACCTTTGAATACTATGAAAATATATGTAACCTTATCTTCCACTAAAATTAATAACCTTAAAATTCCTCTCTGCCTCTGTTTTACCAAGGGAAAGTGTGGAGTGTGTCTCCAGCACCAGCCACCAATCTGCCCACTTGGCTCTAAGCCACTAGTAGTAAGTATTTTGTCTACTTGGGTGATATACTCTCTAAATCTAAGGGAGTCCAAATTAGAAAATGAATGCGGCCAGGCACTGATAGCTCACATCTGTAATCCTATCTACTCAGGAAGCTCATCTCTGAGGATCATGGTTCAAAGCCAATCCAGGCAGGAAAGTCCATGAGACACTTATCCCCAATTAGCCTCCAGAAAACCAGAAGTGCAGCTATGGCTCAAGTGGTAGAGTGTTAGCATTGAGCAAAAGAGCTCAGAGACACTGCCCAGGCCCCAGGTTCAAGCCCCAGGACTGGCACAAAAAAAAAAAGGAAAAAGGAAAAGAATGTGGTGCATTCTTCATCTTCACCAACCTTCACTCCTTCAGCATGTTTTCTTCTCATTCTACTTTGTTATATTCAGTAGTCTTTTTTTTTTTTT